CATAAAATTACTGTGTTTTTATTTGGGGGGTCATTTGTTTTGTGTGGATATATTCATTATATTCATTAAAAGCTTATATTTTGCCATGGTGATAAGCCAAGGGTGACGGTTGCTTCACGATCAATTTGAAAGTTCTGGGCGACTGCCGATAGGGGGAGAACAACGACAATCGTATCTAAATGTTGGAGACAGTGGAAAGGCGGCTTTAGGCCCACCCCAAATGCTCTCATTGGTTGAGATGCATGATGACGCCTATCCCAAACCAGTACTGATCAACATCCCACCCCTCCTGTGACCCATGGTTTGTCTGTATGTGTATTCAGAGCCAGTGAGCAACAGACTTTCAGAATAATAATAATAATAATAATAATAATAAAAAACTGTGTTAATGCGCAATAAAATAATTGTCGATGTTAATTAATTAATGCGTTAACGCGATAATAACGCATTAACTTGCCCAGGCCTAAATGTAATACTTGCCATTGCATTCTCAATGTTTAATGATTTAACCTCAAATACAGGATATGTTCATTCGCTTTTACAAGCAGGTATTGTTCTTCACCTGAGCAACTGTTTGTGCTTCCATTTTGAATACGCATCTCATGTGTAAAAAGTAACTGTGCTTATAGGAGGTGGCAAGATCGCAAGAAAAGCTTGACATGTGCCAGTAACTACACATGATTTAAGGCTATTTTCTATTTGTTAAGATATCAATATAAGAAAAGTGGTTGTCATGCAAACTTCATTAACCTTTCCCCGTTGCAAGCCTGCCCTGTGTGTTCTCCAAATTGTCTAGGTGCTGCACTGCTCTCTCAGTTGACTGCCATCTTCCCTGTTCCGACATCTTGTTATTAACAAACATTTAGAAAATTGATTTTTGTCAGTCCTGTATTTGAGTCCTTAATACGGTTATGTTCACACACATTTCGGTTATTTACAGGTGTGACAACCGCATTCTGTAACCGAACTCACACCTGTAAATTTTCAGGACTCACAACCGCATTCTCGGAACACACGCGCTGTGTGAACGGAACAGGACTGGACAACTAGTTGTCTGTCACGTCATACAGTGCGAGAGGGAGCCGCTCTGCCGCACAAACGTGAATAGGGCCTTTGTTGACGCTCTCGAACCGCCCGCTGCTGCCGGCTGGCGAAGGAGGAGGATGAGTGAGGTCCGGTGTTGGGCCGTCCGTGATTCTCCGTGCCCTCCTGGGAACCAGAGATAGAAAAAACCGCTCTCTCGTCAAGATTTTCCAGAGAGTACGGCCTTCGTTGACTCTCTCGAACCGCCCGCTGCTGCCAGCTGGCGAAGGAGGAGGATGAGCGTGGTCCGGTGTTAGTTCGTCCACGACTCTCCGAACCCTCCCGGGACCCATGGACAGAGAAAACCGCTCTTTCAGCGAGATTTTCCAGATTCTCCACCCGGCCCTCCTCCTGGGGAGGGAGAGGTGCCTTTACCATCCCCCAAAGAGCAGCTTCCTCCCGGGTCTCCCATCCTGAGGCCTCCTCCCATCCTGCTGCCTCCACCCTGGGACGGGTGGAGGCAGCAGCTTCCCGCCGGGGCAGGGTGTGACGACCCACCTCAGTCTGCTTCTGTGCAGCCGCGAGCTGCTGGGCCAAGCTCTCGACCGCGTCGCCGAAGAGGGACACAGGGGCATTAAGGAACCGAACTTTGTCGGCGCCCCTCATATCAACCAGACACAGCCAGAGATGGCGCTCCTGGACCACAAGTGTGGACATCGCACGACCCAGAGAACTCGCAGTGACCTTCGTCCCTCAGAGCATGAGGTCAGTAGCGGTTCGGAGCTCTTTCAGAACTTCCGGATCATGACCACCCTCGTGCAGGTCCCTCAGTGCCTTGGCCTTGCCGGACAGGCCAGACGAGTACCTACAGACCTGGGAGGGGAGGCATGGTTCAATAAGCGATATTAGGACACATTGCAACCGACCGCTCCACCGGGGGGACCCTTGTATACCCCCCTAGCTGCACCACTGTCGAGGGTGGTGAGGGAGGAGGAACCAGCAGGTCGTTTCCCGGCAGTAAAAGGTGCCGTCCATGACCTGGTGAGCTCCTCATGCACCTCCGGGAAGAAAGGGGCGTTGAGAACCAGCGCAAGCCACCCCGAGAAACCAATCATCCAACCTCGAGGGCTCGGGACGCGGTGGAGGTTTCCACTCGAGGAAACGAAGCCTGGCCCGCAGCTCCGAGATAGTCATCTTCCCGCATCGGGAACATAACTCATCCGCGAATGCCACGTCAGCGTGCTTCATGCCCAGACACGTGAGGCAGCGATCATGACCATCACCCGGCACCAGGTAACGACCGCATCCAGAAACGCACGGGTGAAACGGCATCTTTAAAAAGACGATCCGTCGTCTTTACAAAGACGCACCCGCTTACTGTACTCTTTTAGAGAAATTGGCTCTTTTAGGGAAATGCTCTTTTACTTGCTGAGACGCACAGGGGAAACGGCCATTTGCAGCACGACAGGGGGTAGTGCAGCCTGAAGTGCGCAACCCACTCGACACAGGAACGACCACCGCTGAAGCGCCGTCCGCCAACACAAAAAGCTCCCGAGAGCGCGCTAGACTCGTCACACACGAAGCAGTTTGGTAGGAGCAGAACGATGTTGTCGCTCGGCTCCGAAGCGAAGAGCTGGTATGCGTTGCACCAGCTGCCTTTTTATGCTCACGCTATGATCAGTGGCAGCTGGATGCAATCATCGCGTGCCAATGTGCATTGGCTCGTTTAGTTTACACTCGAAGTGGATTGGTCAATTCGTAAAGGGAACTGCAAGGCAGTAATCAAATGCAATGAATGTGACAGCATTAGACATATGTCCGCACTACATCCTGGTCCTCCTCCGCAGGCCAACAAAGACCCCTCATCAGATCATGCCAGGGAGGATGATAAAAGCCCTCCTGCTAATGTCACTTCACAATGTACAAGATTTGTGAGACAGTCCAATATCCAAATTATAGTTTAAGATATGTTTGACAGGAGTATATCCTGAGGGTCATCCAGAGACTGTGGTGAAGATTTAAACAATGCTCAGCAAACAAAATAAAATATCTCTAGGTCGACCTGAGGGTTTTTTATTTATTCAAATGAAAAGGAAGAATTTCAACATAGAAGCAGACTGAGGCGGGTCGCCACACCCTGCCCCGGCGGGCAGCTGCTGCCTCCACCCGTTCACCGGCCGCAGCGCCCCAGCCTGCTCGTCGCCGAGAGCGGCCCCCAGAACACTCTTCGAACCTGTGCTGGGGTGACAAAAACTTCTGGAAGAAGAGCCACTGGTTTTCAAGCTGTATCTATGTATGGAAACATGTGTCACTCCCAACACATATCAAGCTTAATTACATGTCTGACGACTGTTCTGAGATCCCATCTTCCAAGATTGCACACAAGTTCTCTCACCTGAAATCTATTGCTGATGAAATACCAGAGATCGATCCATGTGCTCAGATATTGTTACTCTTGAGGAAAGACGTCATCCAAGTCCACAAAGTGAAGAAACAGTTTAGTGGTCCGAACAAGGCAACAAAGCTTGACTTTGGCTGGGTGATATTTGGAAATGTCTGCTTGGGGTCAGCACATAAACCTAGCACAGTTTTGTACAAACATACTTCTCAATGGACGTCCAAGTGTATGTGGTCCATGTCCTAATCAGGTAAAGGTGAAAGAGCAGTTACGCAGCAAAGGTCATGCCATCTCTTCACATGGCTGTCATTTCTACCCATCCACCTGCACTGGGTACTTGATGAGATACCCAAGACCCAAGACACAGAAAAGATAGCCCCTTCCATTGAAGATTGAGTGTTCATGAAACTGATGCACAAGAAAATGTTCAGCGACAGCTCTAACAGCTGTGTGGCACCTCTTCCTTTCCGAATGTCACTCAGGAACATTTCATCTTATTTATGCAAAGGATTTTCGATGCAGGTCATGCAGAATTAGCTCTGACTGCCTATATTCAGTGTCTATCATCCTCAGAAGCCGGGACAGATCAGAGTTGTTGTTGACTCTAGCGCCCAGTACAAGTGTCTTTCTTTGAATCAAGTGCTTCTTTCAGGATCTGACCTAAATAACTCTTCACTGGGTGTTTCTCTGCATTTCCAGAAAAGAGGCAGTGGCATTCACTGCTGACATTGAGCAGAAGTTCGATAGCTTTGTGGTGAGAGTGGATCACCGCAACTTGTGGTTTAAAGTGGTTGATCCCCTCTAAAGATGTCATGGAGGATGAAAGTCCATGTTTTTGGGAATAGTCCCTCTCTGGTAGCAAACTATGAACTGTAACTTATCATGGAGAACTTAAGTTAAGGAAAGATGCAAGAGCCATTTGTGGAGTGTGATTTTTATATGGATGATGGCATAAAATCGGTGCCTGAAATCAAGCATGTTCCTATAAAACAAAGAGAAAAGCATCCAGCTATAATTCCTGGGAAAAGTCATATTAGCCCTTCTGATCACAAAATATTTTCACAAACGGCTAAGACACCAAGGCTTCTGGATTCTGCAGGAATTCTGGATCATTGGGGCAAAGAAACACATTAATTGTGTGATTTTGTTTTCTTTAACTTGTTGGATGGAAACGGTGCTTTATTCGCATAGGTTTTATGCGATATTCCAGTTTTGCGCATAAGTTTAATTCGAATCTTTGGATGGAAACATAGCGAATCACTTAGGCTACATTCAACACCTGTTCATCTACACTCTTGCGAAAATATTATTTCTGCAGGTTTGGTCCACCATAGAGAAATAACTAATGCTAAAACAGGGTTTCATGACACTTTATAGTCTAGAGACTTAAATGTTGATTGTGTGTGAAAGTGTGTATTTCAGAGTGACTCTCAGTCCTGCAGTATCCTGTTACTGAGGAGCAGCTCATGTATTCAATCATTTACAGCTCAATCAGCTGAACTCACAGCAGCAGAAAGAGGCGGAACACTTCAAATATTCTTTACATTGTTTCATGTGTGAGTGTCAAATATGATCTTACCACAGTTTCTCCAGTTTACAGCGAGAATCCTCCAGTACAGCAGAGATCAGATTCACTGAATCTCTTAGTTTATTCTCAGATAGATTCAGTTCTCTCAAGTGTGAGGGGTTTGATCTCAGCGCTGAAGCCAGAGCAGTAAAACCTTTATCTGTGAGACCACAATTCATCAACCTGTAGAGAACAATGACACAATTTGAATTGTAGTTCAAGTGTCTGTAGATTGAGATATAATGAAAAGCATTGCCACATACTGCTGATGATAGAATAAGATTTATGCATGTTGATGCTCAATGGTGCCGATTAAAAATAATCATGTGCTTCAGGACTGAACAGTTGAATGTGAGGGTGCGTTCACACTTGTCATGTTTGGTTCGATTAAAGCTAACCCTGGTGTGATTGCTCTGTTAGTGCGGTTCGTTTCAGTAAGTGTGAACGCTGCCATCCGAACCCTGGTGCGCACCAAACAAGCGGACCGAGACCCGCTAAAAAGATTGGTCTCGGTCCGCTTCCAAACAAACTCTGGTGCAGTTCGAATGAAATATGAACGCAACATGGACCAAATACTTCTAAACGAACAAAAAAACAGGAAGTAATGACAAGATGCGACACTATGCGACATGATTTGACGACACGGAACGAGCGGTGTATCCAAAACAAAATGAGCAGACGGCAAACGTGGAGTAACGATGAGGTAAAGTGCCTTTTATGAGCTCTTAATCCAACAGATACCATTAGGTGTGTTCGACTTAAACTGAAGATTTACTGTACTGTGTTTACTGAGCATATATTTTACAAGATTATTTTAATTTTAGAATTTACATTAAAGACCATATCTTACTGAAGACAAAGATGTGTGACTATCAAAGAGATGATCTTACCCCAGTGTCTCCACTTTACAGTCAGGATTCACCAGTAAATCAGAGAGTAGATTCACTGAATCTCCTAGTTTATTCCCAGACAAACTTAGTTGTCTCAGGTGTGAGGGGGTTGATATCATAGCTGAAGCCAGAGCAGTAAAACCTTCCTCTGTGACACCACAATCAACCAACCTGTAGAGAATAATGACACACTCTTCACTCTCTCAGATCAGATTAGTTTAGCAGTGAATCCATTATTAGAGAAAGTACAAACATAAAGCACAAATCAATATGTGTAATGAATCCTTGGAATGAAATTTAAAGTGTCACCATAAACAAAACATGATCACAAAATCGTTTAAAGTCTCAGTCAATAAATATATATATCTGCATTTTTATTTTTTCTATCTGAATATATTTTAAAATGTAATTTATTGCTGTGATCAAAGTTGAATTTTCAGCAACATTACTCCAGTCTTCAGTCACATGATCCTTCAAAAATCATTCTAATATGCTGATTTGCTGCTCAAGAAACATTTCTGATTATTATCAATGTCACAGAAGTTCGCCATGTACATGAAACGAATTTGGTCACAATTTATTACTTTCTGTACATCTTGATTGACAGGCTTCTTGTAAAATCAGTGGTAAGTGTTCCTTTCCTCAATTATGTCTAGCTTTTCAGGTAGGTTTTGTTTAGGTTTTAGATTTGGCATTGTGCTTATAATTTGTTGTTTTGCTTTTGGATTTGTTATTTTTGTTTTCAAAATTGTGATTTGTTTTGCACTTTACATATAGCTACTATACATTGTGTCATATATAATCTTACCACAGGTTCTCCAGGTTACAGCGAGGATCCTCCAGTACAGCAGCAAGCAGATTCACTGAATCTCCTAGTTTGTTCCCCGACAGATCCAGTTGTCGCAGGTGTGAGGGGTTTGATCTCAGAGCTGAAGCCAGAGCAGCACAATCTTCACCTGTGAGACCACTTTCCCTAAACCTGTAGAAAACAATGACACACTCTTCACTCTCTCAGATCAATTTAAGAACAGTTTTGCAGTGAATCCATTATGAAAGAGAAAGTACAAATTTAAAGCACAAATCAATGTTTGATTGATCATTGGACTGGGATCTAAAATGTCAGAGCACAAAACATGATAATACAAAGTCTCAGTCAAGAAAGATATAAATATTTCTTAATTACACCGTCTGTGTTTTATGCAAAATGTCTGTCTTACTCAAAATCTGTTTTATTAATGACCTTATTCATTACATAGCTGAGTGTTACTGTTGTTAGATCTGAATGAATATGTATGAAGTAGTGATTTATGTGTGTGTTTGTGTGTGTGTGCTAACACAATTAAACCAATCAGTACAGAAAAATTAACATTGTAGTGGCCATTTGGCCAGTAAAAGGATGCATTGCTTTTGACGGGTGCTTTTGATTTATTTCACTTGTATGCAATAAACACTAATGTTGAAGTATCTTTGTTGCAATGAATTCTTTCCAGGCATCACAGCACCTTGTCTACAATGATTCACTTTATAGCACCATAGCATCCTTGCAATTTAGCACCATAAAACTACAAAGAATGAAAAAAAAAAAAGCAAGCAAGCATAGATTTCAAAGCGAAATAATCTCAAACAACATGCACAATGTTAAACGTTCACTGCATTAGGTGTAGATATTTCACATTGTTTGAGATTAATGACAATATCATAATGAAATAAAAAAAAATAAAACAAACATGAAATAGTCTACATGAAATACAAAACAAGAAACATACCTTGATCTGCTTACCAAAGGGAAACAAAAAACTTAAAAGCTAATCAATTTCACTCCCAAACTCATGTACTTTTTTAAAAACGTGAACTACTTCCCTTTTTCATAAAAGCTTTTTAAAGTCAAGAGATTGAAATGTTGATTGTGTGTGAAAGTGTGTGTTTCAGTGTGACTCTCAGTCCTGCAGTATCCTGTTACTGAGGAGCAGCTCATGTGTTCAATCATTTACAGCTCAATCAGCTGAACTCACAGCAGCAGAAAGAGGCTGAATACTTCAAATACACTTTACATTGTGTGTCATGGTGAGAGTCAAATATGATCTTACCACAGTTTCTCCAGTTTACAGTGAAGATCCTCCAGTACAGCAGAGAGCTGATTCACTGAATCTCCTAGTTTATTCTCAGACAGATTCAGTTCTCTCAGGTGTTCAGGGTTTGATCTCAGAGCTGAAGCCAGAGCAGCACAACCTTCATCTGTGAGACTACAACAATACAACCTGTAGAGAACAATGACACACTCTTCACTCTCAGTTCTGATCAGATCAGGTCAGGTCAGTGAATCCATTATTAAAGAGAAAGTACAAACTTAAAGGAGTAGTTCACGTCCAGAACAAAAATTTACAGATAATGTACTCACCCCCTCGTCATCCAAGATGTTCATGTCTTTCTTTCTTCAGACGTAAAGAAATTATGTTTTTTGAGGAAAACATTTCAGGAATTATCTCCATATAATGGACTTCTGAGGTGCCTGCTTGTTTGAACTTCCAAAGTCTAGTTTTAATGCAGCTTCAATGGCTCTAAACGATCCCAGCCGAGGAAGAAGGGTCTTATCTAGAGAAAAAAATCGGTCATTTTCTAAAAAAAAAGGTTATATACTATACTTTTTAACCTCAAACGCTCGTCTTGTGTAGCTCTGCAATGCGCATACGTACTCTACAATAGTTGTCCCATTCGAAACAGTTAGGGGATGTCGAAAAACTCCCATCTCATTTTCTCCTCCAACTTCAAAATCGTCCTACATCGCTGCAGAAGTACCGACCCAGTGTTTACAAAGTGAACATGCAATGCAAAAAAGGTCAAACAGCCTTTATAAAAAAAAGAGGTAAAATAGCGATGTAGGATGATTTTGAAGTCGGAGGAGAAAATGAGATGGGAGTTTTTCGACATACCCTAACTGAACCGGAATGCACAGTTCACGCAGAGCTACACAAGACGAGCGTTTGAGGTTAAAAAGTATATAAATTGTAAAAAAAAAATAATAATAATTTTAATGACCGATCGTTTCGCTAGACCCTTCTTCCTCGGCTGGGATCATTTAGAGCCCTTTGAAGTTGCATGTAAACTGCATTTTGGAAGTGCAAACTCGCGGGCACCATAAAAGTCCACTATATGGAGAAAATTCCTGAAATGTTTTCCTCAAAAAACGTAATTTCTTTACGACTGAAGACATGAACATCTTGGATGACAAGGGGGTGAGTACATTATCTGTACATTTTTGTTCTGGAAGTGAACTACTCCTTTAAGGCACAAATCAATCATTGGATCACTAAACTGAGATCTAAAAGATCACAGAGCACAAAATAAAACATTTTCTTAAAGAAAACACCTAAAAAAATAAATATTTTTTATTGCACATGTCAATGGCTTAAAAATGATAAATATTTAAATTCTTTAAATTCAAAAACTGAAATACTTCTTTATTTGCAAGAACATTTCTAATAACTGGTAAACCTTATTCATATGCAACTTCTCTGACTTTTATTAGAAAACACTTCAAAATACTGACCTCTAAAGTCTGGACAACTTCTGCAGCACAGAAGATTTATGAGCTTTTATTTTCTTTATGTTTTAACAGTGAAGTGATTGTTGTCAGTGATACTTACTGAACTGATCTGGCTTCTTTAATCACAGGCAGCAGCTTCTGAAGAACCTTCAGCTTTTCAGCTTCATCGTTTCCTCCAACAAATTCATTAATATTAAACACATCCTGCTTCTTCTCTGATGTCAGCAAGACAAAAACTACAGCTGACCACTGAGATGAAGAGAGTTTGGCTTCATTTATTGTTCCAGATCTCAGATACTGTTGTATTTCCTCCACTAGTGAATGATCACCCAGTTCATTCAGACAGTGGAACAGATTGATGGATTTCTCTGAAGATGCAATGGTCCTGATCTTCTCCTTGATGAAATCAACTGTTTTTTTATTTCTTCTTTTATTTCTTCTTGTCTGTTTCATTAGTCCTTGTAGGAGAATCTGATGAGACTTTAGTGACAGACCCAGAAGAATCTGCAGGAAAAGGTCCAGATGTACATTTTTACTCTGTAGAGCCTCATTCACAGCTCTCTGATGCAACTCAGATAATGAAACATTTTTAAACATGAGTTGAAACCAGTTCTTAATTTTAGACAGCGAACTCTGTATAGTGATTGGCTCAAACACATTTATATTGTGGTTTGTACAGGAGAGGTGCACATACAGAGCTGCTAGATGTTCCTGAATGCTCAGATGAACAAAGCAGAAGACTTTCCCCTGATACAAGCCAAACTCCTCTCTGAAGATCTGAGTGCACAATCCTGAGTACACTGATGCTTCTGTCACATCAATGCCACACTCTCTCAGGTCTTCCTCATAGAAGATCACATTGCCTTTCATAAGTTGCTGAAAAGCCAGTTTCCCCAGTTTGAGGATCATGTCTTCATCCGTCACGTTCTTCTCATAGTCCTTCTCATGTTTGATGTTGATCTGAAGGAGCAGGTAGTGTGTGTACATTTGAGTGAGAGTCTTGGGAATCTCTCCACTCTCTGCTTGACTCAACATCTTCTCGAGAACAGCGGCTGAGATCTGCTGCTGGTCTGGAGGTGATCCAGATGAGAGCAGAGGGAAGCAGACTCCCCACAATGAGGTTCGTCAGCAGCACGTCCACTGAGGCTGATTCACTTACATCACACAACCTCACATCGCTCTGAAAATCCAGAGACAGACGACACTCGTCCAGACCATCAAAGATGAACAAAACTTTGTATTTGTCACTGGATATTTCCATTTCTTTTGTTTCAGGGAAAAAGACCTGAAGAAGATCTGAAAGACTGAGTGTTTTGTCCCTCATCAGATTGAGCTCTCTGAAAGGAAGAGGAAATATGAGCTGGACGTCCTGATTCTCTTTCCCTTCAGCCCAGTCCAGGATAAACTTCTGCACAGAGACTGTTTTTCCAATGCCAGCGACTCCCTTTGTCAGCACAGTACTGATGGCTTTGTCTTGTCCAGGTAAAGCTCTAAAGATGTCACTGCATTTGATTGGTGTGTCCTCTGTTGCTGCTCTCCTGGATTGTGTCTCAATCTGTCTCACCTCGTGCTCATTACTGATCTCTCCACTCTCACTCTCTGTGATGTAGAGCTCTGTGTAGATCTCATTCAGGAGTGTTGGGTTTCCCTGCTTTGCTGTTCCCTCATACAGACACACAAACTTCTTCTTCAGATTTGATCTAAATTTGTTGAGGACTTCATGGCTGTAAAATTAAAACACCACATTATTACATAAGTTAATAAGCACAATGCCTTTTCTGTATTCTGTATCATCATCAAATTACCTTTTACAGAAATGTTATACCTGAGATCAGTCTGTGTATCACCACTCTTGAAATGCACTAGATGAGCCACAGACCCTTCACTCCTCATAGACACACAGCTGGGCTCTGGTTCTGATCTCTTTTGATGTAAACTATAATAGAGAGATACTAAAGTTCATTCCCGAATTTCTGTATTCAACAAATTACATTACAATTCATCAATAAAAATTACTTTGAAGAACAATTTGAAGAACAAATGACAATTTCATTTACACTACGTTAAAAAATGTAAACTGAAGTGAGTGCTTTCAGAGATGTGTATCTCTGTGTGACCAACAGTAGATATGTTTAAATATTTGCAAAGATAAAAAAAATAACTACCCACAATGCACAACAAGAATTTATTCTGTATAAAATACCACTGATACTATTCTGATAACATAAAATGCCATAACATAATAATATTTTTTATATAATTTAATCATGTTATACCTGAGATCAGTCTGTGTATCTCCACTCTTAAAATGTACTGGATGATTCATAGACCTGTCACTCCTCATAGACACACAGCTGGAGACTGGTTCTGATCCTTTCTGATGAACTGAACTATAATGAAGTTAAGTTTAGAAAAACACTTTAAAGAACACTTTATCTTTTTTTTTGTTTATTATTTATTATTATTGTCTATTAAATTTTTCTGTTGTTTAATAGATACATAGAACCTAATACTACAACTATGTTGATACAAATGCAGTAAATTGATCTAAGTGGCCATAGATGTGTCTCTCTCTGAGGATTGCAACATTGTTAAAATATAAGATACCATAACACAAAACACCTTAAAATAAAAATGTCAATCAAATCTTTTATAGAAATGTTATCTATAGACTGTGTATCTTCACTAGTGGTCGACCGATATATCGTCAAGGCCGATATATCGGCCAATATTTGGCATTTTTCAAATATCGGCATCGGCCGATAAGTTTTTCTGTTTGGCCGATGCGTTCGTGGCGGGCCTTTTATTTTGACGGCGCTGACAACGGCAGCGCCTAAACACACAGTGCTCACATTCTCCCTCTTGTTCGCTCGCTGTCGTCGTTAACAGTTCTGTCCACAGACAGAAGTCTGTCTAATAATCAGATAGAACTGTTAAACAAAAGAATGAAAATGTATACAAAAAAGTATACGAGTATAGCGATTGCTTTTATATTGTTAGTAATAGAAAGGCAAACATTATAATACTTTCTCGTTTGCCATCAGCATTCAGCAAATACGCATTTATATAATTTAAACAAATCTTTGAATGACTAATGTACATCTAATTTCAAAAACCTTGCAAACTTCGAATCCAGCTGTGAGATCTTACGAAGTGTGCATTTGTATCCTGCACTATCACGTGTATTTGGGGTGATGGTCGGTCCGTGCGTATTGAATATGGACAGGAGGAGAGTTCAGCTTCATTGAGACGCGCGATCGACAAACTTTAAACTCGTGATTTCAAATTATGCTGCACTTCATGCTTTTGCCCAATGTCATATTCATGTCATTTTCACTGTGTGCTGTATGTAAAATGAGTGTTACCTTGGCTTTATTTGAAAGAAATGTGATTCCCAATGCACACAAACTTCCCAGAATACTGAGTGCCCTGTTGGTTAGTGTTTACTTCCTTTTTAATTATATTTTTATTAAATATTTGTTTATTTGTGAAAAATACATTATCATTTAAAATATAAGCATGTTTATTTTACACATTTATTTTTTAAATCCATTTTCAAATTATTTAAAATTTCTTAAATATTAAATAAAATAAAATAAATTATATCAGCCATCGGCCACCCTGCTTTCCAAGATATCGGCTGTCAAAAAAAACAATATCGGTCGACCACTAATCTTCACTCTTAAAATGCACTGGTGGTGTTCGGATCCCTGCACTCGTGTCTTGTTCAGATTCAGTTTCGGTATGGTGTTGGGGTTTGGACACTCACGCTCCATGCTCTGTTTTGTTGTGGGAGCGTGTGGTCTCAAGTTCGCTCGGTCCGTACACTCTTCTGCCCTCGTGTCTTGTATTGTTGCATGCAGCTCGTGTTTTCGGCTGCGTGCTTTCATGTTATGTCTTGTGCTGTGTAGCACGCAGCTTGTGTTTTTCATTGGATGCGTGCTTTCATGTTGTCATGTCTTGTGTGAACACGGGGCTTTTGAGTATTCTTATTAGCTGCGTGTTCATGTCTTGTTTTGTTCAAGCACATGGCTTGTGATTTGTTTTGCTGGCCATGTGCTTGTGTTTTTGTTTTGGGTGAGCACATGGCTTTGTCTTGTTTGGTTTCTTGTGCCATGTGCTCTCATGTCAATTGTCTAACCCCACCCATCTTGTTACCTGATTATTGGTTAATTTGCCCCACCTGTGTTTCCCTTATCACCCTCCTCATTTGCTCCCCATTTATTCTCCTTGTGTTTGCAGTCCTGTGCGAGTTCGTTGTTGAATATTGTGTGTGCCTTGTGTCCTGCCCTGCCCTGCCAGTCTGTTTTCCCCTACGGGGTAGTTTTGGTTTGTTTTATTTTTGCCAATAGGGCCTTTCGCACCGCGGGAACCTTTTCATAGTACCAGAACTAATTGTGGAACTACCCACTTTTCGGCGTGTTCGCACCGCCGGAACTGGGAGAGATTTTAGTACCGGACTGCCTTTTTCGAGAACCAAATTAGCTCCTACTCCGGAGCAGGGTCTAACCAGCACAACTGGTACTAATCGTGACGTAAGTAGACATTGAT